TGATCAATACATCCTCGACCAGAACGAAACCCAGCCTGTTCCTTGCGAGTCAATCTTTCTCGAGTTTTGAACAACCTACGAAGTATGATGGAAGCCAATAGCTTGGACGCAATTGGAAGTAGACTTATCCCCCGATAGTTGTTACAGGAACGACGTGAACCCTTTTTAAAGATAGGGACAACTATCGACTGATTCCATGACGTTGGTACACTCTCTAGCTCCCAAACCTTTGTAAACAACGTCGTCAATTCCTTATTCAGAAAGTCACCACCATCTTTAAAAAGAGCCGGAGGTAAGTCATCTGGGCCAGGTGATTTGTAACGCTTCAAAAGTTGGAGTTCCTCGCGGACTTCCGCTTCATTTAGTGAATCAGTCGTCACCGGCCATGAGGGCAGGACAGTCCGGAGCAGCAGGCCAGTTGAACTGCGCTTCGAAGAATTCTGCCTATTGTCCAAGACGTCAATGAATGTTAGTGATTGGCATCCCATCATCCTCACAGATTGTTTCGCTCACATCAGACTTCTTGCTGCCAGTGGCTCGGATGAGTTGGAAGAGCTTCCTGTAATTACCAGATGCAGATGCTGCTTCCAGCTCATTAGCATGCTCCGACCACCAGGCTTCTCGGTTCTTACCTAAGCTTTGTCCAATTTCCTTACGTAACATCCTTCGTTTGTTGTCAAACTCACGGTCACCCGGAGTAGACCGACGGGTTTCAATAAGTTGTAAGGAACCAGAAGAAACCCGGTGCTTATAAGCGGGACGTTTTGCGAACCCACAACTGACTGTACCCGCCATTTTCATGGCTTCATGCAATTGCATTCAATGCTCATATATACTTTTCGGTGGAATGGTAGCTAGCCTAGAAACTAGCTCGGTTCGATGCTTACTAGCAACAGAAGTTGCAACTAGCTTGCTAACGTCAATCCGTTGGTGGCAGGCACTTCGTTGGCGACTGAGAAATAAGGCAAGATTGGCGCAGACCAATGCATGGTCAGAGTCCAGATGGGTACTCCAAAAGGATTAGCAGTCTTGTACACAACCACGCCAGCGGTAGCTGATCGCGATGTGATCAATCTGAGTCCAGGCTTGGGATGCAGAGGCAGGACGCCAGGTGGCACATCGGCGATGACTGTGCCGAAAGTTAGTGCTAGCCAGAAACAGGTTGTGGTCTGTGCACAGTTGCAGTAGATGGTCCCCGTTATCTGACCTGCGACCAACGAGTCCCCATCGGCCACCTAAACGACTCTCTTCTGTGCCTAGACGCCCGACCTGAGCATTCAAGTCTCCGGCTAGTACTACAATATCTGTCGAACGCCCTTTCTGGAGAAGAACAGATAACTGGTGGTAAAACTCATCCTTGATTGCATCCGGGCTGCAATCTGTCGGGGCATAGGCGGAGATGACGAAAAAACATCGTTTCTCACGCCGATTTCTTCTCACTTTGATGGAACTTTCTAATCTAACAGCACATAACCGACTGTTAATGGGGATCCAATCGATTAGTGCTGCCTCAACTCTAGCGCTTAGTGCGACACCAACGCCAGCAAGACCAGACGAAGATGCCACAGGGTCCCCGGATAAGCGCACATAAAACAAGCTTTTTGAAGGAACAGATGGAGAGCGAATTTGTAGTACTTCAGCAGAGTCTTGAATACGTGTCTCGGATAGACAGCAGACATCGATATTAAGACTTTCCAAAGACATAGCCAGCCCTATCTGTTGTCCGACCTGCATAAGTGTGCGAACGTTGAAGGCAGCCAGTTTGAATGGTGCACGTGGTTTCAGAAAAACTGCTTCAGTACTCATATTCGATGGTATCATACAATTTTCAACCGGACAGTGACTCGAGAACGTTTAGATACAGTCGAATTTCCACCAAAGACGAGCCGCTGTATAAGTATAAAAGAGGGTGAATAATGTGGTAAATAATAATAATAATCATTTAAATCATTTGATTGTTATTCGAAGCGAAAAAAGTAGTTTCCATAGATATAGAGAGTTCATTATTTGCGCGTGGGCTGCGATACTGCCCGGATGCCCAGACCTAAGCAGGCGGTTATCTTAGGGGGCTACACCTCGAGCCTTTGACCTAAAGGTCTAACCCCCAAGGCAGTGGAGCATCGTAAGGAGATGCAGTCCCATGGTAGCCGGTGACCAACGATTGGTTCATACGCCATTTGTTCCCGCAGGATACTGGAGCCCATGTGCACCATTGGTTTGGAATCCGGTTAAAGCGCCAGACATTCGCTTTTCGTCCTGTCATTTTCGTAAACAATACCCCCACCACGAGAAGGCAATGAGTAGGACTTCCCTGGCAGAGGCTGTTTACGCATGGCCGTGTGAGAGTATTTCGAGAGGTAGAGTGGACACTCTCCACTCTCGGCCATACCAGGGCATCTGGGGGTTCCTGACTGAACCGCAAAAGACATCCATTTCACAAAACAGATATAATCTTGCAAAGATGTGGTTCTGTTTCAGTCATTTTCGAGGCTCATTAGACACTACTGAACCTTTTTATAGTCAGTAGATCATACCTGATTTCTACTCGATTTTCTATTTTGTGAAAGCATTCCATGAACTTGAGGCGTGGAATATAAGCCTACACCCTATTAATTGAAATACAAACACATTTATTTATAGTTATTGATATTGACTGTAGATGCATATGTTGTTATGGATTCAGTTTTATTTCATATAATTCGTGATGGATTAGAACTAACGATCATGGGAAGGCGTGGAGTCCAATCCGTGTTGGGGGGTGAGACAGTTATCCACCTCAGACAATGGATGAAGAGTTGTGCAAGTTCATGGGTCGATTGAAGTTAGACATTTATACTTTTGGATCCCGACTCAGTTGTTTGGAGGTTAAGCGTTTGTGAACAAGACTGAAGGTCATGGGCGTCCGAATCTCGAGTACGCGATCGTGGATGCACATTACTGAGGAGTCCCATACTGGGACAAAACGGCCATCCAGTGCTTACACGTTTTCAATGGTGGTTTGGCTTAGATCTACTCATGAATTCACTTGTTAAAATCATGGAATGGTTTGAGACCTGGCGAAATTGAGAATTGATAATTGATGTTAGTTTTTCACAGTTCAAGATCTTCATAGATTTATGTCTAGTCAGATTTTTACATTCTTGATGGATTATAAGCCACATTTGACCGTTTAAAAGGTTTTCTCTATCATTAACACTTTATTTCTGTTATATCTGACGAAGACTAAAAGAATGGTAACTGTCGGGATTAATTTATGTACTATTAATATATGTATATTCCTATTGTGTAATTATGATGTAACTAGATTATTATATGTTTATATCCTTCTTATCATAAGTTTTCGTTCGACCAGTTGACTACTGTTGTATGATATACTATTAATCGGTTTCCAGTTTGTTATTCATAGTCTCCCCTACTCACAGTCACATTTGGCTTGATCATGTATAATTGTTATTTTTCATTTTATGATGTGTGATGCAGTTTGGTATGCTTGTATGTAAACTACGTATAGTTCGAAAATATAATATTCGTATAGTGGAGGCCTATTATGGTGTTCTGGACTTAACGGGCAGGGCAAGGAGATGAGCTACCGAATCGAGGAATAATAAGAACTCAGTGTTATTAGTGCTATTATTAGTACTTTTTCATGCAATATTAGACAGGGCTATAAGTCATAACTTCCTATTACTGCAGTTGTCAAGATTATTCATTGTTTACATTTCTTTATAAAACCTGACCTTTGAAAAATTCGTTTTTATCTACAAAACTGTACAACATTAATTGGGAAAATCTATTGAATTTCTTGTTTTTAGTGATCTACTCTTTCCTGTTTAATACTGATTATGATTTAGTGAATATATCTGATTCTCTGTTTGATATATGAAGTATGGTATATTTGTGTCGGTTTAGGCGTTACAGACATTACTGTCATTCTTATTCAATGCCTATCGTTAGTTGTAATTCTTACTCTACTACATATTCTGTTTGTGTATATATGTGTAAATTCTATGTACAAGAAAGAGCGATAAAACGAAAGAGTAGGTCCTAAGCATATTTTCAGTAATGTAAAGGAATATTGTGAGAATATGTAGAAAAGATGGTAGAGTGAGAAAGTTTTATTAGCGCAAAAGATATTTGATAGTCGGGTATCCCTATAGGTCGTTTATTTTATCAGTAATATTGGCGAAAAATTAAGTTGTCTACTTCACTGATATTATTGTGTTTGTATAAAATCTGCTGTTTTGATGCCTTATATTGACTGAGAACTACCAATTTCTAATAGTCTTGATTACTGAGTGATACAGTCAATACATTTACTGTCTTGATAAATTATATTCTAGAAAAAATATTTGATAATTTCTACTATAGTTCTGTGAGTGGCCTACATAGCAAGAAATTTATATAAATTAAAGAACCGTTGAAAGTTAGGAAGCACTAGATAGTTTCTTTCTGTTTTGGAGTTTCTGAGTAAGATGAAGTGGGGATCACACACACTGGGTCGAACCAGTCATCTTGGAATCTTTAGCCTACACGATTTTAAAAAATGCTAATTCTAAATTCAGTCCATATTTTACTACTAACTGTGATCATATGCTTATTGATGACTAGATGGATTTCCCTTTGTTTTGCTGGGAAACTTACGTGTGGAGTCAAACAAGTTTAAAGTATTGAGTCACTGATGCCATTGGATGTGAGTCATTGTACTATATTATAAGTTGTAGAAATAGACCACTTCTAACTCGATGCTCTGAAGTTATCATGTTATACGGAAAGAGTAAATGTCTTTGCTTCGTTCTCCGTTAGTTTTGGAAGTACACTCGAATACGGAGTGCCGAACTAGAACGACATAGCTGTACATTGCTCCTTGATTTTCGATAGCCTTTCACCCGAATTCATTTTGGATTGATAATTGCTTTCTAATCGTACAAAGTATTCATCTACTTTAGTAAAAGTATGTTATTCAAAAACATTGTGGGTATATTGTCAATACCGTTTTGTAGGTATCTAACTCAATTAGAAGTGGATTATGATCCTGGTTGGTTATGTTTGACATATTTCAAAGATTGGCTGATCGATCAACTACGTAATTACCAGCGTATATCTCATCAAGATATGGTCGATGGTAATTCAATGAAAAATAAACAGTTTGATGGTTCTAATATCATTGGTAATCTTCTCTCTGTCGATAATAAATCGTCTATAATGAATCCTGATTCATTCATCTTATTTGCTGAAGGTTAGTAAGCTGTCAGCCGCGTCGGAGTAATTTAATTATAACTATGAATATCAACATTCTCTTTTATTTTTGTAGATGTTTTACTAATATTATAATTTGTACAATCTCATATTTTAACACTGTGAATACACTGGGTTTGTGTTTTACAGAATTGTCAATAACGAATGAAGTATCAGTATGGGGATGTGGAGATAGTTCGAGTCTTATTAAGATCAAAAACCGATCTAAGTTAGGTTCAGTGTTCTAGAGGTTAAGCGTCCTCATATGAGTTCAGAGGTCCTGGCTCCGATTTCCGGTGCGCGGTTGTGCACATTGACTTCTAAGGAGCCCCATACGATGACAGAACGGGCGTCAAGTACTTTCAGGTTTTCACTGGTTGTTTAACTTTGACTGGTTCATGATGTTTATCAAAATAAAGAAGTATATCGTTCAATATGTAGATGGTGTTTAATCAGCTTCTGTACCAATTAAAATTTCTCACATTATTCTAGTTTCTTTGCTATCTGTTAAGGGATTTCATCGAATATTTTTTCATTAATTAAATAGAGAATCCTAATGTTTAGACATTAATATCTTCACGCGATTTATTGATAACTAATCTTGACATTGATACTATAATAAACAAAGACTTGGGTGCGGTAAACAAATTTATTGTTCTATGAAAAACCACACAGTGTCTTTGTAAAATATAAAGACCGTACATTGTTTGCACATCTTTGAGTTGTCCCTTATACTGTCCGTCATTCTTCCAATTGTTGTTATTCCGATTGCTCTCTGTTTACCTCCGTATTCTGTTTGCTTCAATTTCCTACTGATAAGCATTTTGCTTCCTATTCTTACTACGTACTAATTATATCTGCCCGCATAAATAATGCACACCACAATACCTCTAAATTCCAAATTAACTACATAAATCGACAAAGTTTAATCCATTTCACATTCCAATGTCAACTCATTCTTGTGGTAGATTCGAGAAGAATTGTGGCGTAGTATGAGATCTATGACAGATATCAATTGTATCGTTTCATACAGTTGAAGCAGTTTTACCAATCTCACCCTTTAAGGTTAGTAAATTCTAGATTTTAGTTAAAGACAATGGTGAATATTGGTACAAGTGTAATTGTTATTACTACTTCATCGAGTTTTGGTGGTATGAAATTTTTGTAACTTGAAACAGAATAACTTCGTTGTGTACATAACCTAAAAAATTGTTTACTTTCTATATATTGATGGATAGTCCTTATGGTTATTAGAAAAATTACATTAGTAAATAACGGTAACAAATTATCGAATAATTTATAAATTGTGATAGACAGACATATTAAGTATTTACCATATCAGTACCATATCAGTAATAGCAATCTATCAAAAATTGAATTGTGTTCTCTTACTTAACCTATTTAGTCAGTATCAATGCCAACGTCGGACTTGATAGTTTCAAATAAATTGAACATTGGGTAGAAAGTTAATAATAAATCTACTATTTGTGATATCTCATTAAGTAGAAAACTGTGTTTTTGATGTTTCGTGACTTAATACAAGCCACTTCGACCCATGAATTCAACTATTAAAATTTTTAATTATCAATGTCAGTTATTCAAATATAGTTGAGTTTTCTTTTAAGATGAAAAGGTAACTATTTGTCATATTTATCACTTATTATGTGATTTATATTTCATTATTCATATAATTTCTATACTGAAAATTTCTTACTACGATATCAACCATATATAAGCACTAATATTATTAAACGAATAAACATCAAATTCACTTTTGATTATAATTTAGACTTTTATGGTGTTCCACCAATGGTTGGTATGGTAAAAGCAGTATGTCGTTTACTTACTACACATGTTATTCAATTTTGGCGTTTGGGTACAGCTTATATTTCGGGGCAGTTAAATTATAACAATCAAGTTGGTTCTGAAAGTGTTCATTTAACAGTGTTTCATACTTTTATTTAACCGTTATATATAAAAAATGTGAAATGAACATAGAAAGCAGTCATTGTTATTATTATTAATAATTAGCCAATGCAATTTATAATTAGTTCTAATTTTTGAAAGTCTTCTGTTTGTCAAAAATGAATTATTAGAGTTAAATCTCTTATGCAATCATCATATTCCCCATTTATTCATTTGTTTAACATAATCAAAAAGGTTAGGATTTAAATTATTATTAAATTAAATTTGTTTAATATGTGTTACTATGAGTATTAATCCTCTTCTATATAATATAAAGTATGCATTCACTGAAATTATAAGTATTATATGTACATATAATTCTGTTAATGTAGTGACTTAGTGATTAGTAGAGAGTACTGGATTTTTGACCATTACATTATAGATTTGAAAGCCAGTCATTCTATTTTAGTTTGAGTAGGGAGTAGATGGATTAATATTATTAACCTCAGAAGACTCACAGGAGACCGATATATAAACATGTATTTGGTAAGTTGGATTATTATCATAGCATTAGATTGAGGCAAATATCTATCAGTTTGTTTCTTTTTTTATACACAGAAATCTTATGATAAACTTGGTCAGACGTCGTCAACAAACGATCCTAAAGCGGCATGGCTGGTAATTTATTGAATATTATATATATATATATATATATATATATATATATATATATATATATATATATATATATATATATATATATATATATATATATATATATATATATATATATATGTTTAATCTTGTTGTTGATATGTGTATCTCTTTTGGAGAATTACAGAAGAAATACCTCTCGTATCATCATTATTTCTGATAGTATTGATGTAAAATGAAGATATTTTTTCTGAAAGTCGAATCTATCGCTTTTTATGAATTTACGATTATATTATCCGTCAGTTTCTCAATAATTTTAAAGTTGATCTTTTATATGGAGTAAGATGGTTGAGACATCTATACTACTCAAAAACTAATAATAAATTGTTGCAACTATTTATTCAGTTTTGATTAATTGAATATGTACTCTATGTCTTCAATATGTACTTCCTTAATATAGCTCATTTAGCAATTACAGATTCATGTACTTGACTTAGAGCTACACTTTATATATGGGGTAGCTATTAATACTATCCAGCTGCTCATACTGAAGTGGTTAGGACAGGGTCAATTAATTTAGATAGCAAGTTTTAGTATTTCTCCGTACACAACTTTTTATTTCTTCTTGAATCATATGCTCAGTCTTTACTCTTTCTCATTATCATTGCTACTTCGATTATTATTTTTTTGCTATTTAATCCAATTGATTTCGTTTTGTTGTATTATTGCATGAGAACTTGGACTTATGTACGTTTGTCTTAGTTTTCACGTCGATTACAAATGACTAACTGGTCGATCAGTTGAAAATACGTTTATTATGTGTGCATCATGTTTGGGTCCAACATAACTACCTGTAAAATATATGCCTAAATATTTTATCATCTTTCCTCTTTAAATCTTCCACTGGTTTTTATTTTAAATATTTCAGCAAATTAATTTAGAACTTGTACACTCTGTGTCCAATCACATGCGTGATATTGTTCTTGAAGCTTTCAGCACTACATCTAATGAAACTTCATTAACTGATCATTTATTAGAGTGTATAAAAGAATATAGGTAAGTCAGTTTTCTATAAATGTGTTTAATTATTCTACTTATGGCATTAATAACTAGTTAAAATTATTGTTATAATGTTCATATTGTGTAGGTGTTACAGAAAGACACATAATCTTAAAACGGAGTGGAAGCCTACATGAGCTTATTATTTAACAGAATACCACGAATCAATTATAACCCTAACTGATAATTAAAAAATGGCTTTAACTCTTGACTGTATGTAAGTATAGCTACAACAGTTCTCATAATTGGTGTGTTGTCTCTAGGCTTTTTGAAATCATTTTTGTATTGGTTGTTTGGATCTTCCCATTGATGTTTAGGACTGCAAATGATCAATCTCTTAT